CCTTTTGTCCTGACATTACCACCACTACTACTACCCAGACGTCAACGACATAAAGTTTTTTTTTGATGCTTGCCTGGTGTCCTGGCCCCTACTAAATTTAGTACAAAAGTTTTTTTTGATGCTTAAACAGTTTTTTTTTGATGCGCTGGGCGTATGTTTTTTTGATGCTTATAAAGTTTTTTTTGATGCCTCACCCTGCCAAAGCTGATCTTGAGGCATTTTCTGCAAGAGCATCGAGGTTCGGCAGATTGTCACAGACGGTTCTCAGACAAGCAACGTGCACAAGACTAGCTGCTTGAATTCTGATTGGCCGGTTCATGCCTCATGCGGAGCAACATGAGCCACTACAGAGTTCAGAGTCTACAGCTTGCAAGGACAACCGAATGCAAGCGGAAACAAACTGGAGATGACTGGAGCCTTTGCGATCTTTTGAGGTTCCCATGTGAAAATCTGAGGTTTCGACGAGACCGACGTGTGCTTGGCTTCAGCCACGAGCTCGCGTGGCTTTGCTGCAGTGTGGAGGCAGCTGCAGCTATCTCCTCTGAGAGATTCGAGGCTCTCTGCCCAATGCTGTCGACGAGCTGCCTGAGCGGGAAGTGTCCAGCCCAGGCCATTTGCTTGACATAGGAAATTGTTGTCTGCGATGTGGGTGTCATATCCTTGCCAAAACCAAACAACACGGGCAATTTCACCTGCGGCTTCGATTTTTTTGTGTTCTTTGAAGTGAGTGAAAATGTGAAAGCGCTGTGTACTAAATTGGAGCAGGTTTGATAGATCATTGTCAACTCAGAGTTGGTCCTGGTAATCGTACTGCCTCCTTCAACTTATTCGTGTTGGATACCTAGCCATCGCACTCAACCTTGGCAGCTCTATATGCAGGTCCCGGTCGTGATCCTGGGGTTGTTCCGGGGCGCCTTCCTGCAAAGCTGATTGCCGTTTGTCAAATTTGAATTACAACCACTTGAGGACCAATTGGGCTAGAATGGGGCACGATGCTCAAAGTCTTTGACTGTTAGGCCTTGAATTGAAATCTTGCTCTTGGGGCGTCACGATGTTTCGCGCTCATGAAAATGCTGTGCAACAATTTAAGCATTTGTAATCTGTATTTTCCTATCCGGGCGGCGGGCTTCCTTGGCCTGCACCAGCAGTGCGCTCTTCGTGTCCAGCGTCGCTGTTGGCACCCCAATTTATGTTGCAACCACAAACTGTGGGAGGTGGTCGTTTCTTAGCTTGACGCGTCGCCTCGCCAAGATGGGATGCTTGGCTGCTTTGAGTTGTGTTTGGCAGGAAAGCCTCAGCATCAGAATAGCAGCAAGTTTGGCAAGGCGTCACGTGGTCAGGGCATGCGCGGGAATGGCTAAGGAGCGTCAAGGAGAGTTGCTGGGGTTTTTGCATGCTGCAAGTGAGGTGTTTGCACGCCTTCGTGGGCCTGCTGGAGTTCCGATTGATTCTAGAACTTCCGAGCAACAGTAATACACGCCATTGCAGCAAGCCAACATTCCCCATGCTGCCGGAGGTTATAGCTTGCATGTTAATGTTCTCAGACATTGCTGTGCCTTGTGAGCACCAACCAAGAAACATCTCTGGAGATGACTCAGAATCTGCAAATCACTAAAGACACGAGCGCGCAGAAAAGCATTAGCCTCACCTGCCCTCACCGTTGTTGACATAAGAACTCTTAGTTGGTTGCTCACTTTGGCATCTGTTTAGCCAGATGACGGTCCGAGTGACAAGGTCCGCTCAGCAACTGCTCCTTTTGGCCAATCCATTTTACGGACTCGTTGCATACACCGAAGGGTGAGCTGCGATATGTCCGCATTTTCTTTCCTGGCAAAGCATCTTCCCGCAAAGCAGCTCTCTCTCGTAATGGAGCGTACATTTCTTTAGCTGATTGGGACCTGAAGCATGAAATTCTGCTCACTGTACCGCTGTTGTTGCAATCAGGCATCCTGGCGATACAGAATGGCAAAAGTGCCAACAGGGCTTCAACAAGAATGGGAAGACACGGCACGCCTGAATTCACACTCCCTCTCAACAGGGAGGATGTTCTTCCATGCTATTAGCAGGGTTTTAGTGTCCGCTTTCTGTAGAGCACAGGGTGAGTCTTACAGGAGGCTTCATGATTTGCATTCTTGACGGACAAAACCGCAACAGCGCCTCGGGGGTGACTTGACATCACTTCACGCCCGAGCAACGCCAGCGCCTCTGCCCTGTTGAACTGTCCTCCAAGGATCTTTCAGACTTCCTTCTGGGGAAGTGCAGGTTTCTACTGCCCTCAGGTTTTGGACTTGAGATGGCTTCTAGCTCCTCTTGGCAGCGCAAGCTGGCAAGAGGCTGTTTCACCATCCGTGGAGATGCTGATGGCGCGTAGCACCTCAGAAAAGCTGTTGCTGCTGGTCTGGCTCAGTGCGGTTTGCCATCCAAGTCTGACACTTGACTTACGTGGCATCAGAGCAGAGGCGCTTCCGTCCTAAAGCTCCGCACTATCCCTGCACTGCATGCATGGTGTTGACAACTTTATACAACTTTTGTTGTTTCATACATGGTACGCGCATGGAAAGACTTTACAACTTTACTGCAGCAGAAACTCACAAGACTCTGCAGACAGATACAATGCATGTGACGCCATACCCCTCACAGCGAGGAGTATCACAGACAAGCGCTCAGAGCAGCGCTCATGACCCCATGACCTCATGGCCATGGAGATCGGGGCCCATCAGGTCCCTTTCACTGGGGTGCGCGAGCAGACGCCTCTCGCTGCTTTTCTTGGGTGGACGGTGTTGCGCTTAGACCCCTAAGACGACCGGCGCAATCGCTTCTCTCACGCAACGCAACTCATAGGGTATGTGTGACCAGTCAGCTCTTCATAACCCTGTGTCCGACTAAGGTGCACTACAATGACACCTATCAGTCAGCAACTCGTGCGCACGACCTTGAATCGGTCCCCGAGGCCCGGAGCATTGTAGGCACAACGCCCTGCAGGCTCACAGTTGAGATCTGTGGTGCTGGCGGCGGCGGGTGGCGGGGGCGGTGGCGGTGACTAGTCAGGCTCTGTGTGAGGATTTCCAAGGCGGCACTTGCTGCACTTGAAGCATTAGAGGTTGCACCATTTAGGGCATTTTTCACAACACACCCCTGACTCTCAGCAGGGAGACTGGGAGGGCTGCTGCCCGCGAGGACTGCATCCTTGTAGTGGGCGCAGCACGCAATGCAACCAGTGACCAAGGCAGGCATAGCTAAGCCTGCGCATGTTCGGATCTTTCCTCTCAGTGCATTTGCCAGTTGCTGTGTTGAGACGCTACGCAGGCCTCATGCTGGACGTATGCGCCTGTGGCATCAGTGGCACTGTTCTGCAGAGCTGCCAGCGCTGGCAGCACACAGAACACAACGGCGCGCACTTCGGATGCCTCAAGAGATCTAGTCGACCGCTACTTTGAAAGCGGTGCTTGCACTGGTTACTGTACAAGCACCTGCAAGATCTTGCAACTGTCTTGGATGCCCAAACACAGAGGATCTGGTACCTGGAACGTGGCCGTGCGTTCGGCTTTGCCGAAGGATCCATCCAGCGGCGGGGCGGCGCAGATATTGCTGAAGGGCCGAGAAGGCCTACTGCATATGAGCACCCAATCAGAGTGCCCAACTTGTATGGAGGTTGTTGGTCCATCAACAGCTAAATGCAAGTGGTTCATGCTTCTGCAAGTTGACAATGTAACCGACCACATGACTCCCACTACCATAATTCGGATCACAGGCGAAGGGAGAGGAACCTAGTCGGGTGATATGTGCAACCAATGGTACCAAGTGCATATGCAGCGGGCGCAGATGCAGAGGGGATGGGGCAGAAATTTCTGCGAATTGGGTGGAAACGAGTCATGGGACACGCTGGGAAAGCTTGCATGGTATCGTCTTTTCTGTTTTCACTGGTGGCGGCCACTGGAAGTAGTGCTGCCTCCCAACGCCAGATGCCTCTAGAGTGCCTCTAGATTATTGCAGATCATTCCGCAGAATTCTTTTTGTGAGGCTCTCATGGCATTTGGATGGACAAGGAGGCTGGATGATACAAGTTCAGCAAAGCCTGATTGCTTTGCCATTTCCAATCCATTCCAATCCAATTCCAATTGTTTGCTGGAAAGAGCCAAATGGACCTGCCAGCATATAATGTACTGCACATGCGCCAGACAGGCACTGATGCTGTTGCTCGACCTTGCAGTGTCGTTTGAAGAGCTGGGCTCATGTAAGGCTACCGAGCCGGATCAGCAGAGCATCTCAACCATGACACCTCCTGGCGAAAGCTGGTCCTCAGACAACGCCTGAGTCTGTGACAGAGCTCGAAGTGTCGTACGATGACGTACTCGTACGATGACGTACGATTTGCCTGCCATGAGAAACTGCTAGCTCCCTGTCTGGTCCACACGACTGTAGATCAGTCTTTTGTTGTTTGAATCGTGGTCGTCTGAGGAAGAGATCCTCCGAGTCTTCTCGCTTCCGGGCTGCTTCCTCAGAATTCTCACAGCATCCCGCGTGCAACTGAACAGTAAAGATTTGGTTCGGCTCGGATCGGCTCTAAGTAAAACGGATTGGGTTGCCAGTTCGCTTTGCGTCCTTCCTTACTGAAATCAATCAAATAACAATAGCAGTGAGGCGATATTTGCCACATGGCAGCATATATACAAAAAGTATCCAGCATGTCAAAATGCTGCTGGTGAGCTGAGCCCGGAGGATCGTGATTGTTCATTGGACGATGAATTTTCGTTTCGCACTCCCAGCAGCAGAGGTGGAGCGTGTGAAATCTGTTTAAAGATGCAGCGGTCTGTTTTAGAGGGGTGGGAGGGGTAAGTCAACGTGATTCAGGCTGTCCCGCCTGCGGAATCTTCCCGATGCTGAGGAGAGCTGCCTGCAGTCTTCCTTTATGCGTATTTTGAATTTTCGATATGGTTTTGTGCTGGAGAAAAATCTACAGTTAGTGGTAATTTGTCATTGAAGCTCAGGCTATTGATGAGATTAATTAGTTGCGCTGTGAAATGTTCAGAACAGGATTATGCAACAGACGTTCAAATCAATTAAGCGAGCAAGTGAGAGAAGTCGATGAAAGAAAGAAAGTCTGCAGCCTGCAGCTACAGTAGCGTCTCGCCAATTAGTGCAAGATGGCGCATGCTCGCACTTGTGTTTGATCTTGGAACCACCTGTCGAGATGGCAAAGTACGGAAGCTGCGTCAGACTTTTTGGAGACAGCCTCCCATCCAAGGCCAGTGTCGCATCATCAGCTGTTCTTGTTCTGTAGGATCCAGGGTTGACTGCATAAGCCATGCTGTGAAGGGTTCGTGTTGGCCTATCGGCAGGAACGCATTATGACTTGCATGTAGATGGCATTGCTGAGCAACTGAGACACAGAACAGCAAAGGAAAGGGCGCGAGGACCGCGGTAGGCCCTGGTCAGACGACGTTCGCTGAACAGGTGGTTCATCGCTGCATTCTCCGTTGTCGAAGCCCTTCTCTGTACAAGAGGCACTTCGCGGGTGTGGCAGTTGTAATAACAGCGCACGATGACAGTTTCGCAGAACTGTGCCAGAGTGAGTAGAGGTTGCATCAAAATTGTCCTTCAGGATCACTCCAGAGCAGGACACGTTGCACCTTCCAGGCAAGCAAGCAGAGCTTTATACCCTGTCGCCGCTCTTGGCCCAAAGACGCTACTACTATTTTGGTATTACAGCGGGAGCGCCCGGGATTAGTTGCACGCATACTCTGTTAGGTCATTACACATCTCCTGCACTGGTCAGGAGTCACAAGCACTGCCGTGGAGGACTTTGTTGCATTTCTCTACACTTCACAGCTACCTTGGGACCGTCCAGCATTCGAGGCCGAATGGAGTTTTGCAGCAACGTTCCAAGCTTTGTTGAAACCTGAGCCTGAGCACGTGTCCCACAGGATGACTTGGAAAAGCGCGTTTGTGAACTTTGCAATGCAGCCGTAGTGTCGGAGACGCCGTCGCTGGACGGATCCTAATTATGTTTACATCGCAACCGCGACTGTTGGATGATTTTTGCACTTGTAGGTGGAGTGAGTGTGTTGAGGAGCTCTGCTGCCGCGGTTGGCTAGTTGCCTCGGGCCAGGCCTTTTGCTTGGCTTTTTTTTCTCTAGGAAGTCGTGCGCAGTGACAAGTACTTGAGGGCACCTTCAGATCCTGTGCAGATCCAAAACCACGAGCTGTGGGAGCTAAAGTCCATCGAAGACTTTGAGATGGAATCCTGGTCCAGTTGCAAGGCCACCTGAAGGAGAGCATCTTCAAACTGGCTAGCCTACAAGCTTGTGATCTGGCTTCTTCGCATGTTTCCGTTCGGCAGACTTTGGCTTCAAGTCTGTTTTCAGGTTGCAGCGGGATCTATTGTTGGACGCGGCCTTCCTGGCGCAGTGCTGCAGGCAATTCAGCCAATGGGAGTCTGGCACAGCACGCTTGGAATATGAAGCTAGGAGAGACCTTCTGTGAATCGGGAATTGGACTCTGTGCATGGGCAGGATGACGTGGCAACGCTCTTGGACGAGGTCAGAGACAGCAACAGCATGCCGCTAGAAGACAAAGTGACTGCCGCTCAGCTGGGCTCGTTGTAAGTTTTTGTAACTCATAGGCCTTCATTGCATTGGCAATGTATTCTTGGGTCAAAATGGTGTTTTTGCACTTGTTTTTTCAGGGCTATGCGATGCTAGTATCGGTAACAGCTGCAGCAACCATCCCGAGTAACATGCTGCGCGGACTGGAGCTGTGACATCGGAGGCTTTATCAGTGTAGATGTTTATAGCAGTCTCCCTGAAGACTTGCAGACAACTCTTCGTGTCAGGGGTGTAGGGGTATCGAAACACGTGAGGAGTGGGAATTGAAGGTTCACTTCTTTCAGGAGTGCCCAATTTTTTCTCTGTGTTAGGGTCTTCAGTGCCAGCTCAAGACCAAGAGTCGCAGACCCAAAGCCCTCAAATGCGTCCCCGAAACCCTCAAGGAGGGTTTGACTGCGATGCGTAGAAGGTTGCATGGTACAATGGTGTACGATGGTGTGCACGGTGCAGCCCTGGCACTTGCAGTAAGTTCTGTTCGTGGTTTGTGGGCTTCATGGGATGTCTGGCAGTTAGCCGGGCTTTGTTTGGTCGAGTTGCGTGTAGAAACCTGCTCAGGATCTTTGGTGTTGCTGCTCAGCTTCAGGTCATACTCGGCAAGCGCTGCTGCAGTGGTTCTACATCCACGCCACGTGCTCGCCCTAAGCTTGATTTTGGGCATTCTTCCCTGTAATTCAGACTGCACTTTCTGAGGGCTCATTCGTAATCAAGCCGCCAGAGGAACATTGACTGCACTTTGCAGGCAGGACAGCTTACCACTACGTTTTGATGCTAGCGAAAAGCTACAAGCCCGCAGTCAGAGAGTTTGACTGGCGCTACCAGATCAAACGGGTAGGAAGTGCACAGTCCAAGTGTACAATATGCAGCTGGAGAGCTCAGCTGGCTGATATTGCTGAGCCGATGACCCCCAAGGGCGTTGCGGGCTTCAGGCTTTGCATCGTTCCAATATCCAACTCTACTGACAAGCAAGAGAAAAAGTCAGGATCATTGTAGTTTCGGGCATGCGTGTCTAGACTATGCACGCAGCTTTGCAAAGGTTTACCTAAGCAGGTAAGTACGGTAGAACCGTGTTGGGGTTAGTTAAGGGCAGATCTGACGCAGCACGAGTCACGAGAGGAGCGTTTCACGCTGAGTCTTGCCGAAGGCTTGGAGGCTCACCGCTGCATCCTGGCAGCTTGCAGCGGCTTCTTCTCAGCCGCGCTATCGACGCTTGACTCAACCATCATCATGATGATTATCGTTTTTTATGCCTGGCCCTGGCCAGCCTCGCCATTTCTTGCCTGCAGCCCAATGGTAGGGGCAAGGTCCACAAAGCCCAATGGTAGGGGCAAGGTCCACAAGCTGATCCCCCAAGTTTTTGGTGTCGCCTCAACATGAACATTGGGCCGGGCGGGGGGCGCATTGATGCGCGTTGTCGGCCTCAGCAGGTCCATTCCCACGCTTCTAGATTCTAGATGATAGCAGATGGTGAGTTAATCTACAGACCTTGAAACGGCAGGCACAGCATGGTGCGTTCGGCAAGCTGTCCTGCCCAGCATTGCATCAAGAAGCAGTTTACTGCGATTCTGCAGTCATGCCTGTCCTGCACCCCATTGTGTTGAGCCCGATCTGAAATGCTGTCTGCCTTAGCTACAGCCAAAAGTGCGCAAGGTTCCAATGACAGCAACATTTTACCACAAGAGTGAATTTGAGGGATACTCTAGTGAGCTCCAGAATGTGGGGCAATTTTGAATCCCCCCAAACCTGCTCCAGAAAGCAAGTACGTCACAGCCAGGCCTTCTTTTGCCAACAAGCCTCTGAGCTTGCCCTACCTTGTGTGTTCAACGTAGGGAGAGTGGCGAAATGAAATTGAGGTCTAACTTCCTTGAGCGTGACGGCCTTATTCACCTCGGCTTCGTTGAGGCTCGTGGGGCAAGAGGATGTCTTGTCTCTGATCCCTGATGTACTTAAGACCTAGGACTTGCCAGCATGTTCTGAAACGCGCATGAGCTGACTGCTGACGTGCAAATTCTAGGATGACTGAAGGGCTGTCAACGTAACAGCTTGGAAGTCACAAGGCTTGTGTCCAACAGGTATCAATCAGGCGGTTATAGTGGTTCTTTCTGGGTAGGGGCTTCATGCAGTTTGCACGACTGGCACATGATGACAACGTAAGCCACGCATGCCGTTGTACCAGTCCGCTTGCTTGTACACACGTATGTCTTTAGCATCTGTATTTAGAAAGACCACATGAGGTGGCAACATGCTTTGGATGCATCTTTTTTGCTAGGAGCACCTCTTGTGCGGCGATGAAAGCGATGTGGAGGTTGCAAGAATTGCGTTCCGGGCCTTGATTCGCAACTTGTCTGAGTGTTTGGGCTACGGTAACTCAGCAATTGCTGTCGCATCTGTCGCCATGTCTCACTGAGAGTCTCACTTAGTGTCTGAAGCAAAGTTGGCCGTCCGTGGAGGCATTTGAGGCATCTGGAGGCATTTAAGGGGTGTTAGTAAGTTAGGCAACTTGCAGGGGCCTGTGCCGATGACATTCTCAATCATTGAAGCAGAAGGGTTCAAATGCAAAAGTCAGGATCAAAGCAGCAACCTGAAGCACTCCCGACTTTGCTATATTTCTCAAGTTCAGAATGTGGGCGATGGGCTCAAGCAGCGCATCACCCATCAAGCTGGCCTGTGCATGTGCGTCTTTCCATTAATTGGGGATCAGGAATTCATGAAAACGTGCATGGTTGACCCCTCTGATGCATACTGTACCCCGATACATACCCTGATACATACCTGATACATATCCCCACGACGTCGGTTTCGTCAAGAGTCTGGCACTACGAAACATACCCCAAAACATACCGCGAGACATACCCCCGAAAAATGCCTCGAAACAAACCCCGAAACATACCCCGAAGCATACCTCGAAACATGCCACCAAGAAAGACCCCGAAACATGCCCCAAAACATACCTCGAAACATACCCCCGAAACATGCCTCGAAACAAACCCCGAAACATACCCCCTGTAAAGTGGCATGCAGTGCGCTCCCTGATTTCATGTGCTGTTGCAGTATGGGCTCTATTACGGGGCCCTTTGAGCTGATAGCTACCGACTGTTGTTGAAACATAGTGCGTTTCGCTTTCGTTTCCTTGCTCTTCACGGCAGAGAGCGTTGTCAGTTGGCACCGGAGCCTTGGTGATCTTGGTGCACGACACGACGGACAACGTCTCCCTCCTGCTTCTTCGCTGGAGCAGGGTGTCTGCGGGCGTGCAGGCGCTTCGAAAGCAGCTCCAGGCGGATCAGTCGGATCCGGACAAGCGACAGGCGCAAGCTTCTGTGACGAGAAGAGTGGGCACTGCTAAAGCTGGGTGGCAGTCCGAACAAGCCTGCAACGACTTCACCACATGCTGGATACCTGAGAGGAGCCGTGCAAGGAGGGCTTCCCGCGAAGGCTTCTTGGTGGTGGCGAGTCCGAAGAGGAACGTGGAAGTGCAAGTGCGTCGCGATCCAAGTCACCTCAAGCGAGTGAGAGCCGACATCTTCCTCTGCTGCCCGATTGCCGGTTTCATCTTCGGCACGCCCGTCTTCAGCTCCTACTACTAGGTCCGGCGGTGCGTGCTCATCGAGAGGTTTTTCCGGACCTTCTGGCCGATCAGCCGGGGCGTCTTCGAAGTGAAGCGGCTTTACCTGTATGCTGGAATTTTGCTTGGAGTTTTGAAGTTAGAGCAGGCGAGTCGAAGCCATGGAAAGCCAGCAAACACAAGGGCCTCGAGACCGAGATCCACCTCCAGGCTGGAGCGGACGTCTCCGATTCCAGAGTGATCGAGGACCGCGCCCGCGATCCTTTACCAGATGTTCCATCCGTGCAGAAGTTCCAATAGGCGAGCCCGACAAGACAGACTTGGAAAGCAAAGCGCAGGGTGAAAGCCACGCTTGAGGCTAGCAGAGCCTGAGACGCCAGTTCCGGCACTTGCGGCGATTGCGGTAGAACCTGAGGAAGGAGGCCAGCAACTCGAAGTGCCTGAGCCAACAGGCAGGAGACTGCAAGCTCATTGGAACCAGAGATGGAGGTAAACCCTCAATGTTCGGAGATGACGCCGCCAGGCTCTACTCCTGCAGCAGGACAGGCGAGAGAAGCGGCGATAAGGGCCGGATTTCAATCAATCGCAATGTAATCGAAGTCGTTGTAGAGGACGGAACCCTTCCTCCGGGGCAGGCGCTGCGAGTTGGTGAGACCACATGCACCACCAGCGCAGCCTCAGGCCCTGGCGCCTGAGCCACCGCCAGCAGTGCAACCTCAACTCGCAGCGCCTGCTCCGGAGAAAGGGTGCCGTCCTCTACAACGACTTCGATTGGACAACAACAGCATCAACCCCTGCATGACTAAGCAGCGTTTGTTTGAGGAGGAAGTAAACCCTGAGTCTCTTCTTTCAAGAGGTCCACCAAAGACCCGAGACTAAAGGACAAAGGGATCGTTCGCAGACATCATGTGAAGTGGAGGGCTCTCAGCGTCTCTCCACGGAAGGTGCCAAAGGTTCCCATCGACTTGAAACTTCTGTCCGCAAGACGGTCATGACCTTCAAGAGTGGCGACCAGGACGTGGTGAAGTGCAGGTGTTTAAAGCCACCGACTTTCGCGCGCCGGTGGAGGTGGGTCGGAGGCTGTGACGACCGGCTATTTTGTCAACCGCCAGCGCTACAGCTTCCTGTCTGTGGCCCCTGAAAACACGGGCAAGAAGGAATCGTCCGACGAGATTGCCGAGAAGGACATTCTGCCGGAAGAGTGGGGCAAGTGGATGCAGTCAGATGCCGAGGGATGGGCGAAAATTGCTTGGAGCCCAGCCGCGCTCAAGGAATCGGAGGCAGAGGTGACGGGATGATCGAGGTCGCATTGTCCGGCAGCTGAAGCCAGGCGGCAACCAGGAGAGTGCCCCAATAAGAAGTCTCGGTGGTTTGTCAGGGGGACATAGACGCCGACGCTACCTTGCTGGAAAGATACAGTCCAACGGTCAGTGCCCAGAACATCCAAGGTGCTTCAGCTCGCAGCTTCTTTGATTATGGCCGGAGCTAGTGGCGACCTGAAGGCGGCCCTCACGCAGAGCGATCCTCTCATCCAAGAACGTGGAGCACTGTACGTCCTGCCTCCATCAGGAGGTCTTCCTGGACTGGGCGGCAGACAGTTAGTGCAGGTCGTCTCGGGCGTGTACGGCCTCATCGATGCCCCGATTCACTGGAGAAAAACGCTCCGGACCTACAAGGCCGCAAGTCCGAGGACGCGGAGGCTACGCGCGACGAGGTTAAACGCGTCAGGGCATCCATAGGTTCGCTGGCATGGTGTGCCAAGGAAGACAGACCAGACGCTGCTGCCGGAGCCAGCGTCTTTGCTTCCTCAACAGGGTGATCCGACAGGCGGATGAAACCCGAGCGGACTCTCACCTACCATCCGATTGCCGTGGATGACCTTCGCTTGGGTGGTTCCACGGACGCTTCCCATGACAACTACAGTGATTGGGGATGTCAAGGGGCTGTTGGAGTCTCGGCCTCTCACAAAGATCTCTTACAATTTTACAAAGCTGCACTACGTGGTGCTCTCTTTTGTGGTGGAAGACTGGGAAGCTGAGACACAAAGTTCCCTCAACCTTAGCTGCCTAGACTTCGCCGCTCAACCCTGTAGTAAACACTCCGTCAATCTCAGTAAACAGCATGCTTCGCGAAAGCTTATCGATAGTGGACGTCAAATCCGCCTTCGACAATGTGATAAAGGAGTCTGCGCAAGCACAGGATAAGCACACGGGTGGAGGTGGCGATCGTTAGAGAGTGCTCAGGCGTGCTGGGGGTGCAGATCAGATGGGTCGAGCACCAGACCATGATCGTGGACTCGCTGACGAAGGTTGGAGCGCATCCGAATGTCCTTTACAAGCTAATGGGGACCGGCAAGTACCGCATAGTCGCAGAGTGCGACCTTTTGGAAGAAAGTGTGCAGCTTAAAGCCGCAGGCAAAGCCAAGCGCCGTTGAAAGGCATGAAGTCAGACTAAATTTTTGGGAGTTGTGAAGTCGCATGCAGTGTGCCCCCTGACTTCATGTGCTGTTGCTGTATGGGCTCTACCAGGGGGCCCTTTGAGCTGATAGCTACCGACTGTTGTTGAATCATGGTGCGTTTCGCTTTCGTTTCCTTGCTCTTCACGGCAGAGAGTGTTGTCACCGAAAATACCCGAAACATACCCGGATCCAAACACGTTTTCTTGAGCACGGTTTAGCCGGAACCTCCCGGCTGTTGCTGCAAATCCCATTGGAGCGCATGCTACACATCATACACATCCAGACAGCTTGATGGATGGCTTTGTGCTTTTGAGGTTACCTCTACACTGGGCAGTTGGATGTTGAAGCTGCTTGCCTGCAACGTGAGGTATTGTGTAGTTTCAACACGGAAGCGGTGTGAAGAGAGGTTCAGGGCAAACTTAGCGATTCTGAGCAGGTGCCTTCCGCAGTCGACTTGTTGGCACTCTTGCGAGGTGCTGCGCAGCTCGCTGTGCAGATTCCAGACCGTTGCATCGCACTAGGGCCAACATGTAAAGTCCCCAGGGTGGATGGTGCAGAATAGGCAAGCAAAGGTTCTTAGAGCCTTTTTCTTGGTTGAATTACGTAACGTGCGGGCAGGCGACAGCAATTTGCAGCTTGTTCGGAGTCCAACTGTGCACTTTAGTGTCGTTGGTAAGGCAATCGAAATTGGGAAACTCGGCCGGTGCAGGCAACTTCTTGCAGCTCGAAGGACCTCTCGACAAGGCTTGTGAAGCGTGTAAGCAGATGGCATTGTCTGCCACACTGCAGGCCGGGCATTTCTTTGGCTCTGGGTCCTCATTCGCCTGTCACTTCCATCACGCATTGCAGCAGGATTTGGCGGGAGTTGCTAGGCGTGCGGCGGAGCTTGGCCTGGAAGACATTGCAGAGGCAACTCTATGTCCGTCAGCCAATGGTGCAGCAACAGCATCGTTTAAGAAACACCTTCTCCAGCTGACTTAATTCACAACATTCCTGGCAAGAGCGAGCAATGTTCAGTAATAGCGAGTATTGGTTGGTGTGCCGAAAAGGTGATTCCCTGGCATCTGGGCTCCTCCTCTTCCCGCGCGTGCGGTCGAATCACCTTTTCGAGCTTTTCAGGGCTGAAGCTGCCGAAAAGGTGATGCATTGGCATCTGGGCTCCTCCATTGCTTATTAAGAAACACCACAGCTCCTCTATTTCTTAAGAAGAAATACCACAGTTCCTAGCATTTCACGTATGTGCTCTTTTTATGTTTCGACTCGATACTGACCGGGGCTTCCTCGTTCTTACTGGCCTCCGCTTCCTCGCTATTACTGGGAATGCTCTTAGTTATTCTTGCAGGCCTCTGACAGCACCTTTGCTTGATGATCGTACATTGAGCCCCTGAAATTAAGAAGTTTAAGGGCTCGTTGAATTTCGGAAATGAGTCCTTCATCGGTCCTCCCATCCCAGCAACCTCCAAGTAGCCTTACAGGCCTGGAGCCTCTCAAACCTTTCCAGGCCTCCAACGCAACGCGCCCGCCATAGAGAGTTGCCATCTTTCAGGCACCAGATGCAATCTGTGGCACCATACTTAAATGCCTAAACATTTCTTGCTAGCAGAGTCTGATAACGGCACGGGACCGTTAGCGCGGAAGGTGACCAAAGGGTTCGCCGAAGGTTTTTCTGCGGAAGCTCACGTCAAGATAATGCATGGCTATTCATGGCAAACCTCGGCATCTCCAATGCCTCCTCCAGCACGGGAAATTTGCGGAAGGCCCGCGGGAGAGCTTTAGGATCTTTACGTAGCAATCCGAAGCATCCTAGCCATTCTGTTTTTGTCGTTCTTTGCACCATTGTCTCCCCCTCGCTTATGCCAAGTCCAATGAAACACAAGGGAACCTTTTGCGCGCAGAGAACAACATCCTTTCCGGGAAACGACCGTGTACTGCAACACCACGCGAAGAGGGCATTGCAGAAGCACTTGCCAAGCAAAAGCCTCGCGGGAGCCACGTTTCACTGACCGGAAGGTCCTGGACAATTGTTCCGTCTTCGAATAAAAACCATGGAGCCATGGCTCTTGATTCAGGTACAGAGAGAAGCGGGAGAGGGGAATCCGCCCACCTGGTCAGATGGACACTGACATGGCATCACAATATGCGAAGCCTGTCGCAGGCAGCTCTGCATCGCCTGGCGGACTCCATGTGCGATCAGGATGCTTGCCAGGAGCCGGTGATTCATGGCGATTCAAGCACTATTCGTGCCAAGGTTCATGTCAGCACGAAACATGCGATTCATTTATTCCGTGATGGCAGGCCGGGACGATAAGGAATGCTGCTGCAAAGCTGTCGCACTCGCTCTTGGTTGAGCTTGTGGCTTGCCTTGCGGAAAATAGCACACATTTGCAACATAGTTGCGATACTATGCTCTCAACCTGCAGCATCCGGCAGCTTAAGTTGAGTCAAGGCATTCTTTGTGCGGCTGTTCTGTCAGACCCGCATTTTAATCCGATGCAGTCAGCGCTGGATCCGTCAATCATTGAGCATTCCTTCTTGCAACAAGCTGATGATCACAAAGTTGCTAAGCATCTACAAAAACTTTGCCGACCGTGGCCTTTGTGCCATTCCTACAGATGTCCTTTGCGCTGCCTCCTCCGTGGCACCCGTCAGAGTTTGGCCCTGCGGCTTGCCGCTGCGGCCGCAGCGCCGAGGACACGAAACAAGCCAGAACCTGCCGCAAACACGATCCTCTCAGAAAGGATACAAGCGCCGAACCGAATCTCCCCGACGGGCATTCACGCAATGCAGCTGCTTGCCACAGAACACCCTGCACCTATGACATCCCGCAACCAACGTAGCGCTTTTCCAGATCAGCGTTTGTCAGTGGCCGATGGTGTTGTACTGTAGCGGGTCCCCTGTCCTCGAGGTTGCCGAAGTTGTGCACATGTCCAAAAAGAGTGGGTCCGTGTTGCACTTGGCCAAGTACTGTACCTCGAATACCGTTGAATCATCCGTTGTATTCCTTTTTCTGACTGCTATCCTAGCGATCTACCTACGTAGTGCTCTGGTGGGTTGGAGAGGAGAGCTGCTTTGCCCAGAAAAATCGTCCAAATGAAGAGATGCGAAGGAGGCAAGCCTTTTTTCCCCACCCTCGCAGTGGGGTTGATAGATTGTAAAGTTGATGTTGTCCTCGCCCGACTGGAAGCTGACTTTAGGGACCAACCACCAAGTATCCCTGCAGTGCCCAACCACCAAGAATATCCCTGCAGGGCCCAACCACCACGTATCCCTGCAGTGCCGAACCGCAG